ACACAGCGTCTCCCTTCCCTTTTCCACATTTCACCCAATCTGGAGTGCTGCAGCTCTACATTATTCTACCAGCTAGAGCCCTGGATCCAAATGCTTCTAGGCATCAAGCTGCTTGAGATTTGTCCTCCAGATCAACCATGACTGATAGGGAAAAGCAACAGCTCCATCATAAAATATTCACCCACTCTACTACTCCATGGCCAAATGAAACTGGAACTCTAACAAAGCATCAAGTCTCAGTGCAAGAGGCAGATGTTGCTTTTGAGTCCCTTACAAAAAAACAACATCACAATGGAGAGCTCTGCTGTATGAGATTATTGGCAGGCATGTGCTTCACAGCTCTGTCTGCTAATGGCACTTTCCAAGCTGAGAAATTTCTGATCCTAGTCCACAGGGCCAAAGACAGACAGAGTAAGTTTGGCCTACACAGGGCTGATGCACAATAAAACCTGGCTCTTCCTTTCTGCTTTCCAACTACAGATCTCAATGCCTTTTACAACAAATACAAATAGACCAGTGAGCTTTCCAACCCTATCACAGAAATCACCTTTTCCTCCAGTACTGGGAAAGCCTCATCTACTCCCTCCCACCCCCTTATGCAATAGAAGAAATAACACTGCAGAAAATGAGACAGGCAACAAGAAGATCAATGTGAAACTTTATATTATTTTTACAGGAAAATGAAGGGTGCTGAGAATCCACTGCTGAAGGTGCTGTACAAATGTGCCAAACACGAGCAAGCAAAACCCCTCAGCATGTATGGCTGCCTTTCATGCTGAGTTTGGGATAGTGCAGGCAATGCTCAGAGCTGTCCCTGCACTTCAAGTGTTTAAAGACAGTCCTTCCAGTCCATGCAATGCTCAGAGACATTGCTAATGCTAAAGAGAAGAATCATCTTGTGCTGGAGAAGCACTTGCCTTGAAGAAGATCAGTGGCAAAGTGAGGAATGCTACCCTGTTCACCCAAGCAACTTTAGATACATTAAAGACATGATTTTTGTGAGGCCTAAAGGTCAACGGTTTTGGTCTTCTGAAAGGTCTAAACAGTGCACTCAAGAAATGAGCCATTTAGAAGATTTATGTCCTGTTACTGTTCCCTTCAAAAGACACTGCTGACATGTGCTGCCTTGGCTGTCAGCGTTGGCAGTGCTTGCTTAAGAGCATGATATAATCATCAGTATATTTATCAGCAGGGACAAAAGACTAAAATGTACTTGAACAAGGGAAAAAGGAGGGGGGGGAATGGAGACCTACGATTAATTTTAGAAATAACAAGCTGGAAGTGGCAGTCACAAAGCAGAGGCTGGAATGCAGTTTTCCAGAGTTTGTAAAGACTCATTTAATTTCTATAGAAACTGAGCAGCAAACAGGTAATTTTCTCTGCAGATTGCTTCTATCACCTCTGTAATGTTCTGCAAGAGCAAAGTATTTCCCTTGCGTCTTCTTAATCCCCTGTTATTTTCATTATAAATTTGATTAAGCTCTTCCTGAGAGCATTCTGTAACACAGAATGGAATTTTGTTTTTCTATGAGAGTGACGACAGAAATGAACTGCTGAATTACATGGCAATTGGATTTCTTCTTTTCTCTGTATTTCAAATTATATTAAGCAGTGGAGACATACCCTTTCCCCAGCCAAATCAATACAGCTAAATTTAGAGAAAGAGCTGTGCAGAAAAGGTCCAAGTGTCGGAAGTATGCCTTGCAGCCAGTCCTTTCTTCTTTTGGCCAATGTCTGCAGCTGCCATTTTGCAGAACATCAAGAGCAGATGATCTCTCTGCAAATCAGGTAAATGCAAGCAGCTCTAGGAATGAGTTCTTCAAATTCTTGCTCTCCTCTGCCTGTCCCCCATTTTCCATTGTAACCAAGTGATAGTTGAGAACATCTGCCTTCATTCCTGTCTGACAAGCAGCTGGTGGCATCACTGCTACAGTAAAGCCAGAAGTTTTGCTAAAGCTCAGCACTCACAGCTGAGTCCAGATTTCTGAAGACCCATACAACCTGCTTTCTAAATTGCAGCTGCAGGATTTTCAGAGCTGGACACAAACATCAAGAGTAAAACCCAAATCATCCCTACAGAGTAATTAAACCTTTAATGCCTGTCATTGCTCAGCATTTATGAGGGATGCTGGTATCCTAAACCTTTTGACTTCACTTGCCAAGAAGAGATGGCTGCAGGAGAAGACTATGTGGCACTAGCTGACAAAGTGCAAAGACAGAACAACCGTACTGATGCTTTAAAAAAAAGAAAATAAAACTCCTTCATTTTCCACATCAAATTAGCATGTTCCCAAACTGCTTTTCTATTATTCCTCTCATCTATCACAAATGCCATCAGGTGTAGGAATAGAGAGATCAACAAAGAAGTGCATACATAGGGATAAAGCATGAGGAAGCAAACCATGCTGCTTTTAATTCTCACGTCTCTACAACTTGGTGAAAGCAACAGTTGTGATCAACACAGACAAGCTGGGAAACGTACACTGTGCACAGCAGGCAGAAGCCAATCCTTCATGTCCCCCCAGCTGCTACCTGGAGATTAAGGAGAGCAAAATGAACACTGAAGTTTCCTGTCACAAATATGAGCCCCTGAGAGCATTAATTAAAGAAATCAAACCCCCAAACCAGCCAAGCAGTGGAACCAACTACCCACAAAACCCCTCCCAGGACTTACTTCTGTTACCCCTGATGTTTTGGGTTGTTTCTTTGGCTGTTGGATTTTTATTTTTTTTTTTTTTTTTAGAATGTTATTATTTGGGGACGTCCTGCTGCCAGTCACATCCATCATATTACAGAATTTCAAGCATCACTGCTAAGAAAAACATCTTCAAAGTGATATTGGAGTAAAAATGTCACACCAAGGGAGACCTATCTGTCTATGCCTCATACTTCCTTGATGTTATGCCTTTGACAGCTCAACAACAGCTAAACAGCTTAGGTCTCAGCAAGAAATTTCCAGGCTGTTCAAGTATGAGTCTGACATTTTAATTAGAAGCAAAACTTCTGATGTGCTACGAAGAGCCCCCTGTTTGAGGCTGAGTGTGAGGAGGGGTTGCTGTTTCTGCAGTACAGCACATGGCACCAGCAGTGCCTGCCCAGGTTTGTGTTCTGCTCTTCCCACCAGAGCCTCAGGCACTACTGGTGCTAATGGGGCCTTTCCACCCCACACATGAACCACTGCCAGTGGCAGGCCAAGTTTAGGAGCATCCTAATCTTTAATGCAAGCTGTGCTTTTCAGCCCAAGCACATCTACTGGAGCCTTTCCAGCTGCCTGTTCAGACCCAGTAAGCCCAGTAGCCTGGAGCCCACCATTCTCTCACTGTAGGAAGCAAATTACATGTTTGCATTATTGCTTTGGCTTGCTTGCTGGGACCTCAAGTGCACTACATGCACAGGAGACTTTTCTGTTACTATGTCTATAAAGGATAAAAAAAGGAATAGTTTCTTGTTGTAATGACTCCCAGCTAATAATGTCCATCAGGAAAGATGCATCTTCTCCCCTGCAGAGCTGTGGAATGGTTGTTTGTATTGTAGTACCTTTCCAGCTAAGATGATGAAAAAAAAGTCATAATCTCAGGCACCTTTTGGAATTACTTAGCAAATTGTGGTAGAATTACAACAAGTGGCACAAAAGTGCTACTTACCATGACAGAAGAAACAAATCCATGAAGACTGTCAGAGAAGTAACCAAGCTCTACGATGACAACTTCCTCCAGGCCAGAAAGGTCTCCTTTTCTCCCCAGTCAGACTGAGTGACCAACCCTGCTACCTAACTTAGTGCTGAGCAATTTCCCTGATAATTCATCTCTAACAGAAACCCCCACAAATAGGGCCAGACACAAAATCAGGATGCATTTGTATAAAGCCTGTTCTACTCATCCACAGTTAATGCATTTTCAGTAGAAAAGACTGAATGTAGGCAATTGAACTCAAACCTTTAAGCACTGCTTTCCAGAAGACCCCATCTCCTCCAAGACTAAAGGAAGGCTCTTAAGAGAGATAGTGCCTTTTAAGCTAACACGTACAGCTGACTGTTACATGCCTTACCTGTCCATTTCCACAGAGTAAGTACCTGCTAACTTTCCCAGCTGCTCCACGCTCTTAAAACACCACCAGGCTATGAGAATTTGGGGTAACCCAAATTTGATACTGATCTTCTAAGTAGGAACTCTTTCAACCAGTCTACAAAACTCCCACAGCAGCATTTTGTAGCTAAGATTGGAGGTTACTGGTAGCTCTCATGGGAGGGAACAAGATTCAGAACTACACCCACTTTTTGGCTTATCCTTAGAGCTATCTTTGTAGTGATAGCCTCAATGTTTAAAGTCTGAAGTGTGGAGGCAGTCAATAAATAATATGACTACTTAGCAAAAAAGCTCTTGGCTCTTTTATTCTGAAGGGATGGAGTGGAATTATTCTGCAATTTATTTTGTGTTGCATCCATTTGAATACTTTCTACTAGTTTTTTTCTTCTTTCCTTGTTTTATTTTATTCTTGTTACAAAAGTTAGATGTTAGAAAACCTGACACATTGCTGTACCATATGCTTCGTGTCTATTTCCAGTAGAAGGTGAGAATCTGATCATTCAATTCCCACCTCTGCCAAAGCCATTTTACAACAATTTGTTTTGTAGGAAAGCATTGAATAAAAGCAATAAAATCCGTGGAAGACACACACACACCTATATATGGGTTGCTGTGCACAATTTCAATATTGCCCATGTGAAAAGGGAGTGTGTATAAACCCATTTCCATCCCTGCACAGCAAGTACTAAAACAGGAAAGCATTGCCTAAAGCCAACATCATCAAGTCAGACTCTGGAAAATAACTTAGCTTCCTTTTGCAGCTCCATTTTCTTTCTCTTTCAGTGTTTATGCTTAGAAACTTCTATTTAAAAAAAAAAGAAAAGTATTTTCTGTAATCACCAGGTGACAGGATCTGGTGGTTTGAGGCATAACAGCTGTCATTGGAAAAAATCATAAATGCCAGACTTGACGAGTCTACAGATCTGTCCTTCCTGGAACAAATTTTGGTCTTGAAATCTTAGCATCATTCAGTGTCCTGTTCCCCAGTTTATTCATCAACAAGTCCTTGCCTTGAAGGAGTGTAATGATGTTTTCTCTCTGATGTCTAATTGCCAACTGGAGAGCTGTACAGCCAGTGATATCTTCCACATCAAGCAGCGCCCCAGCCTTAATCAGGGTCTTTATAATGGCCATATTGCCCTTGAGGACAGCGAGGTGCAAGGGTGTCCAACCCACTTTGTTCTTAGCGTTCACATCTGCCTTGCACTCCAGAAGATTGATGACAGTCAAAAAGGAGCCCCGCTGGACTGCAAAATGTAGGGGGGCCCACTCTGACTTCTCAGCAATGTTGGGATCTGCCCCACACCTCAGCAGCTCGCTGACCACCGGCTCGTCGCTGTAGCGCGTGGCCAAGTGAAGGGGTGTCCAGTCCATGCCTCCCCTGGTGTTCAGTTTGGCGTGGCTGTCTTTTAGCAGGTGGATGATTTCAACGTGCCCTTTGAAAGCAGCCAGGTGCAGAGGAGTCCAGCCTTTGTCTGTCCTCAGCTCCACATTGGCTCCGTATTTGATGAGTTTCTCACAGATGAGATACTTCCCCCTCACCACAGCCAGGTGCAGGGCACTGTAGTGATTTTGATCGAGGCTGTTGACAGAGGTCCCTTTCTTCAGCAAGTACTGGACTACCCTGAACTTCCCCCTCTCCACAGCAACGTGAAGTGGGGTTCTGTGGTTCTTCTGCTTTTTCTCTAAGTCGGCTCCTTGACTGGCGAGCAGCTTCACCAAGCTGACATGTCCAAAGCAAGCTGCCACGTGGAGGGCGGTTTTCCCATCAGCCTCCTGGGTGTTGGAGTCAGCCTGGCGAGACAGCAGCACTCGGGCCACGTTCTCAAAGTTGTTCTGTGCTGCCAAGTGCAGAGGAGTCCAGCCGTCTTGCTCCTGTGAATTTACCTGAGCCTGGTGGTCCAGCAAGAGGCGTACAATTCTGTCATCCCCATTCTGAGCAGCAAAGTGAAGAGGTGTCCAACCATCATCATCTGGCATGTTAATGTCTGCATCGTGCTCTATCAGAACTGAGCAGATCTCTGGAGACCTCTTCTGAACAGCTATGATGAGTGGGGTGTAGCCACAGACTACCTGGCTGTTCACATTGGCTTTGCAGCTCAGGAGAAACTTCACCTTTTCCACATCTCCCTGGATCACCATGAGGTGGAGTAATGTGAGGCCATTTTCATGAATCCTACAGATTTCCTCAGACAGGATGTCCTCTGGGCTTTCAACCTCACTGTAAGAAGGTGGGATATGAACTTCCTGATTATCAGTTTCTTAAGTTGGGGAAAACAAAATAGGAGAAATAAAGTAAGACCAAGTGAAATAACTTGGTGTGCACAAATGAAAATAAAATGAAATAAAATCATTTTAGAGACAGAGAATATGAAATGAGGCAAGACTGCAGTCTTAGAAAGCAGTGGCAAGGCAGTTTGGCCTCTTCTCTACGATTCCTCACAGGAACTATTAGTGCTATTTCCTGTATAGTTCATTTTCCTTAACTT